GTAAAATATAATATTTAATTTATATATAACAGATATAGTAAGTATTATATTTGTACAGATTAAGTATTATATTTTATTTATATTTATGTTATTTAATTTATATATATTTATAAATATTTAATTTATTTATATATATTATAAATATTTAATTTATATATAAATTATTATAATATTTCTAATACAATATTTAATTTATATATAATAGATATAATATCTGCAGTATATAATGTTTACAACTGAATAAAGAAATATTTAGAATACGTTGAAAAACATATTAAATATTCGAATATTATAAAGATTGTTTGGAAGCGAGATTGAAAAATACCAAAAAAATATTTAAAAGTATCTCGTGAATTATATAACTCTTAAATGTTTAATTTTCTAACACATGAAATAATTCAAGGAACTCATCTCATGAGTAGTGCAATAATACTTGTGTACTAAGTATAACATTTTGTATACTGACTGCAATACAAAATTATCAATTAATAATCAATTGCGCACTTTCTTCTATCTTTTATAATTCTTTATTCTCTTTTATCAAGACTTTTACTCGCATTTTATAATTTAAAACGTACCGACGATTTCAACTTCTAAATTCAGATTTCAAAAAAGGGGTATAGGATATATCCTAATAATTGTAAATAATATATTTAATTATATATATTTTTTTATATATTTCACTCAGTATTTCAGCTGTAAATAATCATATTTATATATTATTACAAATTAATATAAAAATTACATTTTGTAACTATATAAATGCACAAAAGTACATAATATGTTACAACAACATTTCATTTTGCTTAGAGAATTTGAAAATATTTGTAAATTATTTTAACGAATAATGTTATAATAATGATAACATTACATTATCACAATATTACAACAATAATATTATGTTAATAACATTTCTGACAAATTTTTACAAGTTACAAGTTACCAAATTTAATAAATTGATAAAAATAGAATTAGAAAGGAAATTCTAATTGAAATCCTTCAAATGTAAATTTGTAAGTGTAAAATATAAATTTGACGAATGATTAGTAGTAAGATTTTTATGAATATCTAATAACAGATACAGCTGAAAACAAACATTTTCATCGAGCAATTTATAGGACACCTTGGATTATCGCTTTCATCTGTCATCGATCGGTCAAGCGAGACATATATGTACAAGTTTATATAACTCATGCAAGGCAGAAAAGACAGTTAAACCGATACTTTACAGGAACTTTACTGTAAAAAATGTGATTTATTACCCAGGGACTACTGCATTATTAAAGCATTTCGTATCGCGTGGATAACAATCGAAGATAACATTTTCATTAGAGTGTTAAATAATGATAAAGAATTGCAGAAGTTGAAAGTATTTTTTTTTTTTTTTTTTAGGACTTGGAGGACAGTATAAATTTTCACCGGGCAGAGTGTATGTTAGAAAGTAAAAATTAAAAATTTCAAAAGCTAATAGTATTTCTTTGAAGAGCAATAATATAAATTTTCATTGAACATAATATAGAGTGTTAAAAAGTGAAGATTTCAAATTTTTAAGGATAGTCCTTTAGAGGCTGATAATATTTCTTTTATTATACTATATAGCTATAGCTTTTATACTAATCCTTTAGAGCCTGATAATATTTCCTATTATATAGCTATAATATTTCCCTATATAGCTATAGCTTTAGAGGCTGATAATATTTCTTTTATACTACATAGCTACAGCTTTTATACTAAAGAGATAGCATAAATTTCCATTAACCTCACGGAAAATTAAAAAGTTAGCATTTTTAATTTTATAGCCTGATAGTATGAATAAATAGCAGTAAACAGTATCTAATACGATTTTAATTTTTGTATTAATTTCAATATATTCTTTTTATACGTCATGAATTTTATGCAATATATTTTACAATATATTTTATGCAATTTATATAATACAGAAATATATTTTTACGCAATTTATACAATACAATATATTTTATGCAATTTCTATTTCTTTATACAATATATTGAAAATTGTAATTGATTAAGTTATGCCTTGTAATTTACGAAAATTTCGAATGACATACTTTCTTCAGAATTTATTACCTCAGTTAATTATATTATTAAATTATTATTATTTCGTTATCGTAGTTATTTTTTAGAAATAATTAGTTTTATATCGTATTATCTGTATCGATATCAGGAAAAGGAACAACGTCGATTATCATTTAATAAGAATTAGATACCACACACTACGTATCTACGTGGAATAGTTATGATTATCGTAGTAAAGTATTATAATATTATAAGAAAAGAAAAACGATACATCCAACGATTGCCAGTAACGTACGTAAGTTCTTGTTCTTGGAATATCCAGTTCATCACGAGATAAGTGATTACAGCATGTATCGATAACCTATTAAAAAGATTTGCGGAGAATATATAAAGAGAAAGATACAACTGATGTTATCAGAGAAACATAGTACCTGCATCAGACAACAATTATTAAAAAAGTGTTTTACAAGCGCCAAGATGAAAGGTAAACTTATTTTTTATTTAAAAAAAGGTCCAATTGCGATTTGCAAGCAAAGTATAGAATCTCTAACTTATAGAAAATAAAAATATAGAACAAGAAATGTCTACAGAAAATTGTTTTACAAATTATACGTTATAGAAAACATAATGCTACGAAAGTTTTGTATATTCTCTTCTGTTGCGTTCATACCATGCAATTACTTAAAAATGCATAAGTATTTGTAGTTTATTTATAATTATTTAAAAAAAAATAAGAATTCACTTCACAAGACTTGTTATTATGGATATTCTTCATTGAATGTAATATATTAATTAGTTGCAGATGAAATAGTACTTAATTTCTAATAATTTCTAACTTTCTTTTTCTTTTTACCTATCCTGAAGATAATATTAACCGTGATTCATTATATTATTTATAAAATAAAATATTAAAATCCTTAGTCGATTAGTTTGCCCCTGGTTGATAAGTTTTCCACTTGATTTTAAATTAACAATCATTTGAATCAAAGTACAAAGCTCTTTACAAAAACGCACTATCTTTTTATGATAAAACAATCAATTATATTATATTCGTTCAGTTTTAAGCTTTAAATATTACTGAAAAGCACTCACTGAATAATTCATCGTGAAATCAGTCATTCCATATGCAGCAACCTGGTAATAAGTTAAAGAATGCAACATTAAACAACATTATTTAATCATTCTTTCAGTATCGTGTACGGTAGCTATTGCTACGATCACTCTGGCTTTCGTTTCTGCCATCCCACCACCTAAGTGTCCGCCTGATGGAATTGATGTCACCTTACTTCCGAACCTAGATGACTGTTCAAGTTTTTATATCTGCAGTGGAGGCATAGCATTCTTAATGAAATGCTACAACGGACTTCTCTTTAATCCCGAATTACGAGTTTGCGATTGGCCAGAAAATGTACATTGCGCTAACAGTTCAGCACCTACAAGTTCGTCAGCACCTCCAAGTTCATCTAGCATACCAAGCTCTTCGGAACTTCCAAGTTCCTCTAGCGCGCCAAGCTCTCCAGAACCTCCAAGTTCCTCTAGCGCGCCAAGCTCTCCAGAACCTCCAAGTTCCTCTAGTGCACCAAGCTCTCCACAACCTCCAAGTTCCTCTAGCGCCCCAAGCTCCTCAGAACCTCCAAGTTCCTCTAGCGCACCAAGCTCCTCAGAATCTCCAAGTTCCTCTAGTGCACCAAGCTCCTCAGAACCTCCAAGTTCATCTAGTGCACCAGGTT